TATGTTCTTTGTATCTGTGTATTACTAAGTACAAAACATTTTTATACCTAATGACCATTTCTGTATTTTTAATATCTATTTCTATAGATAGATATATAGTTAAATATTCTGTATTTTGTACATGTTGTAAATATGTTTAATTTATAAATGTATAAAAAAATCTATATAAAATTTTAAAATTCTTTCTACAATTCTTGTTATGTCTCGAAAGACCTACTACTTTCTCCAAACTTTAATTACATTTTTTCTCTACATTGTTTCCCGTTTTTCTGACATTCAAAGTTCTAGAAATTTTGGAATTCTATACCGGGTGACCCACGTAACACTTTCGACTGCAATAACTCAGGTATTTTTGAAGGGATTTTGATGAAAATTAAAACAGGTGTAATATAATAGGTAAAGATTATGCTGATAACAAAAAAACTATTTTATCGTACAAAAAACGAATTGTAACAGAGCTTCCTGTTGTTAAAAATTATGCAAAATTGCGTTATAACTTTAAGCAACTAAAATAACGCCTGTGTGCGAAAATAGTATATTATTAGCCAAGGTTGCAGAGCCAAGCATTCTAGACCGAGCGCAAATTAGAACCCGAGACGCGCAGCGTCGAGGGCTCTAAGTGCGAGGTCTAGAAGCGGCTTTGCAACCGTGGTTAATATACTATTTTTTTCACTAGTAGAAACCATGAGACAATAAACTGAAAAATAAACGTTCAATTTTTTGACGCAACGTGATTTTGTTTTGATTTCTAATCAAACTTGATCTAAATCTTCAACACAAAGAAAACCGTTTATACTTGTCGCTGAGTTAATCATTTTATCTTCTACCGTCTACCAACTACCATGCGTATACTCAAGTAATGTTTGTAGCACACATTTGTTCATTTTTTAAGAAATAATCACATCAAACATTGCGTACATAACCTCAATTTTTCTTTTTGAACCCGTGGTAGCAAAAGTTGAATTTGCTACCACTAAATGAGTCGACATTTGCATGCGTCCAGGCTGCTAGTGAAAAAATTAATTAAATCACTGTTTTTGTTTAAAAGAATTCCGTTAATAAAAACGCAAAAATTAATGTATTTGTTTTTGTTAAATTTAAATGTGCTGTCGGTGCAAAACAATTGTCTGCGTCGCCGAATTCAATTTTGTACACCCCTGACATTTTTGTCAAAATCTGACAAGCGATTGAAAGTGGTTCGCTTTTCTTTAATTGCTAAAACAGAAATCATTTTCATCTACGGAAAATGCCGTACAGACCAAGATGAAACAATCAAGACTCTTATCGAACGGTATCCCGATGACGAATTTACCAAATTCAAAGTACAGAGAATAATAAACTTATTTGAAGATACGGGAAGTGTACGAGACCTAACACGAGTGAAAAAAACAAGGTGTTAAATACACCTAGCAAAATTATTTCCATTCAAGTTAGAATTAATTCCTGAACCTAAAGCATGGCCGACTAGTATAAAGATTATGGCCTGTCCAAGAGGTACCATAGGTGTTGCCATCTAATAATAATTACACTTAATAATTTAGCATAATTTTAATTTGACTTGACTTTATGAGACTTCAAAACGTGTAATGGTGGTTTGTTTCGGTATGAATGCCTTTGTGCCTTTCAAAAAGTGTTAATAATTCTTTTGTCGTTTTTGAATTATTAATAGATGGCAGCACGTATGGTACCTCTGGACAGGCCATAATCTTTATACTAGTCGGCCATGCCTAAAGCAAATTTGCACCTTCGAAAAGGTTGTAGCCGAGCAACTGAAAATTAGTATTTTCTTAAAATTCATAAAACAACGCTTGGCAAGCAGGTATCAAATTCCCGCAAGGGTGTCCAAAATCCGAGGAACGCAGTTTTTGTTTCATAGCTACCTATCCTTTAATACTTTTTGGAATTATTTACGCAATAATTTATCGTTTTTTGTCTAACCAGACGTATTTCGGAGATGAATTTTTGCATACAGTATTTATTTTTCATGTCTAATCAAGTGATGCAAAACTTAATTAATTCAAAATTAAATTAAGACATGGAAAATTAACTTTTTCAAGATAATGATTATTCTCACCGGTTCATATTAATCCTCACCTATCAAAATACCGACATTTCAAATTTCATAACAATCCGTTCAAAAATACCCGAAAGTGTTACGTGGGACACCCGGTATATAACTAGTTGACCCGGCGAACTTCATACGGCCTTAGAATTAATAAATGATTCGCGTGTCATTGATCTAATAGTTATAGATCATCGTAGTCACAGTTGCACTGATTACTTTAAAACACTTTTACAGCTATACATATATATCTATAGAAGTACCGTTGAAAAATATTCATTCAGCGCAATATTACCAGATTTGTAGTAGATAAAAATGTTTTACTCTTCCAAACTAATGTGCCACTGCATTAACAGTTTTATGACAGATACCTCTCAGCCTCACGAGTGTAGGGATGATAAAATTATTTAAAGAAAGTCTAAAAAAATCGACACTCGCAAACGAGTATTAGATACCTTGGACAGTACTAAACACGTCAAAAGAACAATTTTAGATATAAGACCACATATTGCACAGTTCATACACTACACAAATTGGGCCAAGAGTGGCTGAAAATCCATCTTATAAACGAGACTTATCGTCCTGCAAGTTTCTTTTTTTTTCCCTTTCATTGAATCTCTGGACGGTCAAAGGTTTGAAGATAAGAATGCAGTAAAAGCTGGCTCGTGACATGGCCCAAAAATGTTTACAGACTGGGATCCGCAAAGCTTGTACAGATTTGACGGAGATATTAGATTAGAGGAGAGTATGTATAGAAAATATAACTGTTATATTTGTTTGTTTAAATAAAATTGGGTTGTTAATAAATTCGCATTCATATATTTAAACTGTCCATGTAGTGTTAAAAAGTGTAAAACAATTGAAAAAATCAAAAGCTGTACAAAATTTTATTCCAAAATGTAAAAACAGGCAAACATTTTGGGTATACTGACTACCGGTGGTTCTTCTAATAGTTTCAAGGAGTTTAATGGCCGTACAATGAAAGTAAATTTATAATAAGCACGACGATACAATTAATACAAAAAGGTGGAATACCAGCAGTTAAAGATCCTCCGTACTTTAATAAAAAAAATCTGCAATGTATCGTAATTGTTTATTAACCTATCATGCTGTCAAAGATGTTCTCACAGAATATGAATTTAGTCGTTCGATTTGACAGATAAATGACTATTCATCGAAACTGTTACCATGATGAATTGTGACTACACTCAAGTCCCTGAAGCTACCTTTATAACACGCAATTCTTCTGAAAATTTGACATGTACAGTACTAAATTTTCTGTGCTTTACAAGGTTAATATATTTTCGAAGTTTCCTTCACATTTTATAAAGTTTACATTTGTTTTATTCCAAATTTTATTATACAAGTTTAAAAATTCACATCGCACAATCTCCAAACAACGAAGATTAACAAAATTTGAACAAGAAGTGTAACTATCACCAAATAAAGAAAACGATTTCTAGTGCGCAGGTTTACCAAAGTGTACAGACCGTGTGTTTAGTAAAGCTTATCACACTGTCACTTATTTCATACACACATTTTCACCGTTCCAACCATAGAAATCCAGATTCTAGTTCTATTAACGACGAAGACGTTTTGTTGTGACGGTGGTTCTGGAGGTTAGGTACATACGTATTTTATTATTTAATCTTATTAATAAAAAATGTGAAATAAATGCTAAATGAAAAATCAGAAATGAGAAGCGAGAATTGCGAAATGAGAAATCAGAAATGGGAAAATGGGAAATGCCACAAATTTACGTGCGATCAATTTTCCCGACATAAATAACAAACAAATTGTTGGTCAACATTCATCCATTGATGAAAACTAACTTTAAAATTCCCGCGTTAAAACATCGCAACAAAATGGCTTAAGGTCACCAAAATTGACCAGCAAAAGATCAAAGGCACCGACACGAGTGCCGCTTCTTGTTCAAATTTTGTTAATCTTCTTTGCTCCAAGTACAATCTTCTTTTAATATTTATAAAACTCACCTCCATCGGCAATGCTAACAAATCAATAAAAATAAACCGCATAAAAAAGTAAATAACTGTTAATTGGGAAAGGCTCTATTAAAAGCTAGGAAACATTTTTGGTCTTTCAAATTTTTCTACTGATTTTTTTTTTATTATTATTACGTCGAAAAATAAAAGGCCGCGTATCCCAAACACACAGCTCCCCATTTTTTAACTGCCGACTGACTTTTTCAATTATGACGAATTAAAAATGTATAAATAATATACTACCGTTCGTAAGATTTTTCAGTAATTAGGTATTTTTTTCAAATGAAGAAATAATCTGCTCTTAATCGAATAATTACATATTACTGATTGTATCTTATTTAATATTTCATTGTTTTAAATGAGACCAATTTTTTGTAATTTTCGAACATGGCTTTTTTTCAAAATTTGAGGTAAAATTGGTGTGACATATTTTTTGCTTCGAATTAAGCTTTGCTTAGTTTGACTTATATTTTAATATAACAATAACATTGCGATCTTTTTTTAATTAAAATGACAAAACCGAAAGAAATATCTTTACGCGTGCGCGGTCAGTAAGCACAAATTACGCATTACGTATAAAGCAACCGCCATGAAAATGAAGCCACAGTCGAATAGGTTGTCAAAAAATTTAAAAAAAAATAAATAAATAAACAGTGGCGCCGAAATGCTTATAAGACGGTATTGTAATTAAAATTTAAACTCTACAAGCATCGGGAATGTAATTTGCCAACGGCTTGAATTTGGAGCATTAAAAGTTCCCCAGAACATCTTTTTTGCAAAATTTAATACGTAGTTTAGATTTCAACACGTGGGAGTTTTTTTTTTTATGTCACGAACACACGTTTTCACCTCATGGCGCCCCACAACCGCGAGCAGAGTGACTAAATCTCTGCCTCATTATCGCCACAAACATCGACGTCGCATCGATCACTTACCAGTATTCAGACCCAACTTGGCAAGCGAAGCAAGATTCTTGTAGGCAGTGTCGCTGGTGAGAAAATCGGCCAGATTGAACGGCGGAGTCGGCGATGTGGCCGCACTGTTCGTACTCTCGGCAAGAGTCGCCAACTGAGCAAGATTATATTCAGCAATGCTAGAAAAGCCAGGCATGGCAGAGGCGGCAGCGGCCGTATTCACCTGTGGCAGCGGCGGACTCTGAGCCAACGCAAAGTTCTGCATGTTGCCGCTGAGGTCGCCGTCGAACGACGACTGCATCGACGTCGGCAGCGAGATCGGGCTGCTGTTGGTGATGGAAGTGTTGCACCCGTTCGTCAGCGGTTGGGTCACCGTCAACGGCGCCAGAGCTGGCACTCCCGGGCTCGATTCCCTCGACTTTTCCGTGCGGAAGGTGCCGAAGTGCTCCTTCACCATCGCCTCGAAGGAGCCGAAATCGGTGCAAAATTCGATCTGAAAAGTCTCGTCGAACTTGGGTGTGTTGTTGTTGAGTTCGAGCAGACGATCCGCGACCGTCTTTTTCAGGTACATTATTTCAGGAACCGTGGAGATCTCCAAGAGACGCGTCGTGTACGATCTGGCGTCTTCGAAATTGCCGATTGTCTTGCCAACTTCGTCGTTCTCTTTCATTATTATCAGCTCCCTCTCGTGATACAACTCGTTCAGCTTTGTCAAAGCCTCATCCTTGCACTTCTCCAAGACGGCTTTGTAGCTCTGGTAGGACTCGTTGATCAGATCGCGCGCCGTGGACCGCTGATGCGCCAACTCCTCCAAACTGTTGTTTAAACCTGTAGACAACTTCATGAGCTGATCCACCTTGCTCTGGCTTTCGGACAATAACGCTTTGATTTCTTGTCTGACCCTCATTTCCGAGTCGGCGATACCTTCGGCATGGTGTTCGGCACCTTTGTGTTCGTTTTTCATGCATTCGTTACAGGCCGTGGTGCTACAGGTGTTACAATAGTAGATGAGGTTCTCGCCTTTGTGGATATCGCACTCGAGCGGTTTGTGGATGGTGATCTTGATGCCGTCTTTGCGCATGTCTTCCAAGGCGACCACTTGGTGCGATTCGAAGCAGCGCATGTAATGATGGGCCGAATCGCAATGGTTGCACAATAGATTGTGGCAGGTGTTGCAGCGCGACTTGGCCACTTCTTTAGCTGTGCACGAGGTGCAATGCAAACTTGACGAATTCGATACGTCCGCGATGTTGGTCTTGGTTACGTCGAGAGGAAGAGCAGCCAACTTTTTTGTGCCGACCTAGACGAAAAAAATCGTGTAGTCTTCGATTGACCTTATTATAATGTTAGAAATCGGTCGAGTTGTTATCGATTATTAAAATAGAAACGTTAGTGGGCTTACGGCAGTTCGAAGTGCCAAAGATAAAAATAGGAAATAACACTTCCTAGTACCACCAGAAAATTACGACAAAATATCATCGAGCTTATCAAACTATAAAAAATTACTACGTTCTTCGTTATATTAACAACGAGGTTTTATCAGCAACTTTACATATTAATTCCGATGAGTCAAGATAATGTTACAAACAGGTAATAATTACTAAACACTTTTATAAAAACGCTTACAAAGGCGCATTAAATAGGAAGTACTATTGTAATAAAAAATTGCGAAAAAAGTAAATAAACATACAGAGCGTTTTAATACAATCTTTTTTTTTTAATTAATTTAAAATGTATATTTTAATAACAAACAGTTTTAACGCGAGTCGAGGCCCGTTTTTATTGTAATGTGTATAGATTTATTCAAAAAGTCACGTTGCAGAACTGTACATATTAAAGTGTTTGCGATATTCGCAAGTCCTAAACTACTAAAATTTAATTTATTAAAATCGTTATAATTCTAATTTATTTTAAATGTTCACATTGTTTAAGTGTTTAAAATTACGTATTGTTCTTAAACGCATCAAATTTCAAAAGGTACTTGAAACGCAATTTTTTGGCATTAGTGTCTCTAAATTTCTTGAAAAAAGTCTTTATTCCCCACACAAGTGTAAAACTTTCAGTAACTTCAATTCAACTTTATTGCAACAAATATTCAGCGTGTTCCACTTACAATATGCGGTATCATCTCGCATTAGGAACATTGATATACTTTGAGTGTTATTTGACCACTAATTATTATTATTATTATTATTTGCTAGATACAATTAGAGACTGACGTCACTAACGTGTTATTTTTTTAACATATTTTAGCAAACAAAGCTAGATCGGACCAAAGAAATTTTAGTCTTAAGAGATGGCACTTGAAACCACCTGTCTTTATGGCCTAACTGGTGTGAGAAGTTAGTCCAAAGATATGTTTAAGAAAATTAAATCACTTTATCATACTTACTTATAGCTACCAGTTTCATCTTTCAATTGTCAATATTAATTTAAATATTCCAGACTATTTTAATGGTGCTAACCCTTTGCCAAACTGTGATATATTTAATTTCCAAAAATTATTTTTCACGTCATTTGTGATGGCAGTAACGCAGATGCCATATTTTTTTTAGAAGAAAAGGATTTGCAATGTCATAATGGTCTGGCATATTAAATTAATATCGCCAACTCAAGAAAAAGAAACTGGTAACTAATAATGAAGTATGATAGTGATTTATGTATTATTCGTTCCATTTTGAGTTGGCAGCGTACAAAGCCCATAAGCGGTGTATTTGACGGGTAAAATTCGCGGCGGTGTGGTCAGTTACCAAAAATCTACCGATTTCAGAAGAAGTTGATATAAATCTTACACAATTTACCACAATCGAATTATTTCTTGAATTTTCATAAATTTAAGATTGCGTTTTTTTTGCTTTTTTTTTAAATCACATATTTCAAAACTATTCTAAAATGTTGTCTTAGTTTTTTAACTGTAATACAGTCGTTCCCAAAAAAATTCGGGCAAGATGAGCAAATCAGATTCTAATAGATCAATGAAAAGCAATGGGAATATGACTTTCACATCAACGTCATTTGCCTGATTTTTTTGGAAACGACAGTGGTAAGCACCACTGATTCTAACAACGTAAATTTTACTGTAGTAGTGTTTTTAAATTTCTACCAAAAAAATCTTTCTTTGAAAATTGCACTAAAGGTGTAGTGAAATATTCATCATGCTATTTTTTTTATAATTGAAGATTTTAAAGTCAATCAGCTGCAGAGTCATGAATTATGGTCTGAAATAATTTTTGTAATGAAGAGGTATTTGACCACCATCTTTGTCTTCGAGGTAAAAATTTTTTAAACTCGAGCGATGTCTCGATTACGGCACATTAACTAAGATGCGGCATTTATGGATTGTTTGAGGCACGACTTGCTTTCATACATACTTAATTGGAAGAAAAACTTGTGATGCGATATATAGCAGAAAATATAAAATTTAGAAAACAGCTAGGATGGTTAAATATTTCTCAAATTATAAAATATTGTATAAGTGAAACACATACAAATAATGACTACTGGTACTCCTGAATTCCTAAAAAGACATTAAGAAGCGAAATTCACAATATTCTAACGAGAACTATTAATAATATTAGCGCAACACGAACACCGCATTTCGAAATTCCAACATTTACCTACTTATGTAGCGTGTCAAGTATATAATGAGTTAACTGATGAATTGAAATCATGTAGTAATGCAACATTCAAAAATAACAATAAGCTACCATTAATAAACGATTAACTTTGAGTATTATTTGTATATTACAATTTTAAAATTTCAAGTTCTATATCTATTAGGGTAGCAACAGTCTTTCATTGAACTCGCTCTTTGCAGCGACTTAATTATTATTTTTTGTGACAAATGTACAAATGCATGTTTTTTATTCTGTATTTAATTATGCATACTGTGGGTTGCAATTATGACAATTATTATTATGTATTTATTGTTATATTATTTCAGTTGATATATCGCATTCGAGTCATCGCTCGACTTTAAAAAATGTAACAAAAAACAAATGATAAAAATTTCAATACTCTTTTTGTGCAACTGACATAGAAATATTTTTTTTGAATAAAGTTAAAGACAATGTAAATTCTACGAATATACAATAAATGTACATTAGTAGAATCAGTAGTGTTTGGTTACATTATTGTAAAAAACTAAGACAAAATTTTGACTACTTTTTAAAATATGGCGTGATAATCAAAAAACGTAATTTTAAAATCATGAAAATTCAAGAAATAATTCGATTTACTATGAAATTTTAATATTTAAAAATCGAATTTTAACAATATATATGGAATGACGAACATTTTATGATAAATTGTGTAAAATGCATCAATTTCTACAGAAATCGGTAGAGTTTTAATAACAACTGACAACACCACCGCCGCGAAGTCTCCCACATAAAATGCGTTGCTTACGGGTTTTCTACGCTGCCAAAAAATAATGTCTCAAATTTTTGTAACACATACAATTATTTAAATACCTCTCTTTAAATTTAAATGTTCATTACTTAAAATTTTGGAAAGCAGTATAATATCTCAAATCTGCTACGATTCGTTGTAGTTAAACCAACTTTTTTTATTTCATTATCATTAGAACTTTGTTTTTCTTTTTATAGGCTATTGAAGGTTACTTACGCATTTTTTTTATTTTGAAAGGACATACATAAATTCTAGCTAAAGTAGGTACATTGAGAGGCAATTAAAATTTCATAGCAATCAAATAAAGTAGTTGACACAAAGGTAACGTGCTTCAGTAAAAATTTTAATGCGTATATTATGTTTAATATGCACTTGTTTCAATTCTGTTGAATAGAATGAGTACTCAGTGAATAGTAACAAGTACTGCATAAGAACAAATCTTAATCGTCCACACCAGTTAATGTTTCAAGAAAACGGAGATTACTAAAAAAAATACAATCCTATAATCGTTAATGATTTGTTGGACAACAATATTAGAAACAGCAAAAATTTTAACAAAGGGGTCACCACATTTGAATAGATTGAAAAGATGCGGTTAATACGTCCACTTTTATTCATTCTTGCATCATATTCTCAATCAATTAAAAACTAATCAATTTCACTTTTATGCTAAACATTACACTTGGTTCAAAATATATATTCGATACTATTAAAAACACTTAATATTTTTATCAATATAAACATTTGTATCATGGTAAAAATATAATCAGCAACACGTAAACATAAAATAATGTAATGAGTAAATGTAAGAGATAAAAATAATTGAAGGTAATTCAGTACTTTTTATCATATGTGATGGTAATGAACGTGTACAATGTGTATTGCACAAGACCAAAAATTATCTGTAGGTCCAACTGTTATATTTATAGATCTAAGATGTCTTACTTTCTTATCAGTATGTTTTTTTTAGCGCAGAAGTTCAACACATTTATTAACAAAATTTGCTTTTTATGAGTGAGTTAGCAGAACAATTTTCAAAAATTTCAGATACAAATAATAAGGTTTAACTAGGTAGTGTATTTCAGAGTCTATATTCTCAGTCGAATTACTTTAATAACTGTCAATTAGATATTTTTCACACTGGTGCCCTTTCCCTTCTGTCAGGCAGTTGATAATAAAATACGAATTTAATATATTTAGTCAAAAATTCTAACAATTGCACAATCTTATTAACTAACTTATTATAAACAATAGACATGTCATAATAATAAAAATATTTTACCTTGGTTTCATGCCCACATGTGGGGCAATCGATGGTTGCATCTACTGTCCCAGCATCACCTCCTTCTCCAACTAACTTCTTATCAAGACACTCTTCACAAAAGGAATGCAAACAGTGTAACATCCGAGATACCAGCAGCGGTCCACTGCAAGCTCACTAATCAATATCTACATCAATCACATCAACAAATACATACCCACACATTCCGCATTTATCAGGATCGACCAATAGGCCATCCTCTAGAGCCTCCGTACCACACATCTTAACGCTTCCTTCAAAAATCGCAATATCCCCAAAGTCATCAGATTTCTCATTCAACTCCTTGGATTCCGGAAAGTCCTCCGAAGCAGTTGTACACATCATGATCTTAGTTCCTTTGTAGGCCTTTTATTAACGAAAACTTAATCTCGTAGGTAGTGTAACTGGAAACAATAAATCATGAATTTTAGGGGGGCTAGCAAAAATAAACATGGCGGCTACGGGAGCCCTACGAGCTCTGCTCGTATTTTTGCGACTTGACGTTGCAATTTCGGGACTTTTGGCACGAACAAACGCGGATATTTTTGATAATTTACTAAAAAAACTCACCAATGCCATAACGAGCAAGTGTTTAGCAAATGGCGCGTCTTGCGTCTTTAAGCGCAAGGGCAATGGGTTATTGAGCATTGGAGGGGATACGTCAAATATCCGCAGACCCGGGAAACCCTTTCGTGCGATTTTAGGCCGTACTTACGGTGTATTTAAGGCGGAAAGTGTGGTTAGGCAAAAATCCAACCAGCAACAATGTCACCACAAAATTCGAAATCGAAAGTCAGCGGAGAGTTATCAAAGCGCTTCATTGACGGATTGCGGAATTTACTTACCAAATATATTCAAAAATTGAAAAGGAAAACCAAGAAAAAACACTCAAAAGAGCTTTGGCTGCGCTCAAAAAACCTAAAAGAAAACACGTTCATTTGTTTTGTTGTTAGATAATCCATAAGCGACTAGATCGCGGATTTTATGGTGGCGCAGCGATAAATTTTAAAGAACAGGACCGGACTAAGGACATTATGTAAACTGCGGAGCGTTATCGGGGTTTGCATCGTGCTTCGTGATGGTGAAAATTAAACAGGTGAATTTAATCTCACATGTGCATCATACTTTTGTACACACATATCCGATGTGTACTGTCTATAATAATCAATAAGTAAAACAAATTAGGAAAAATATCCACACTCTTTTTAATTAATTTACCTTGGTAGAATAACCTGTGAAAAGTTCTTTTTTATTTTGCGGATGTCTTTAAACTAAATAATCTTGGCCAGTTAAAATATCCTAAATTTAAATATGTATATATAAATTCTATTTAATTCTATTCCGTCAGGCTTTTTATGTTTAGATAAATCAAACTGAATCTTAGATTAATTGTTTTAAGGAACATTTACTTTTGTTTGGGACAAATGCCATAAACAAATTGAGCACAACAAAATGCTAAATGATTTAGCAAACTAACCCGAAAAACACAAACACAGAGCGATAAAAAACACAAGAAATAAGACTTAGACTTTCTAGAATTAACTCTTAACAGAAATTTTGTTGTCGGGAAGGAAGAAAATATGATGTTACATATCTAAATTAAATCTGTCTTTTTCGGATTTATCATGAAGATTTGATAATAACTTCATTAATTAAATGTGAGAATAAGTTCTTTTGCAAGAACTAAATCCTATTAATTTTGATATTCTTAAATTCTTGAAGACACAAATTGGTTTAACAATTTTGGACCGAAGGCGACATACATACCTACTTGAGGAAAATAATTTACATTTTGCGAAAATAGAACGAATACACATCTGCCATTCTTACAACCACGAGATTTTTTTTTTGTTTACCATGTCGAAAATCAGTGTGTACCCAATTTACCCAGCAAATGGACTTATAAAAGTCTTATCATTTCCATTTCCATTTACGTCAACTGGGACTTGGAGTTTAAAACTTGTTATTAAAAAAAATTTAATATCAATGATATAATTATAATGGTTGCTTTATGTCATTTAGATTTTTACCCTTATCCGAGATTCATTCGTTGGAAAGAAGAGACATAAAAACTTGATTTCCAATCTCTCTCCTTATGATAAACATTTTGATTTATTCTGTATATGTTATTTCGAAAACAAAGAATATAAGATGTATTTAAAAACAAGCAAAACTATATACTTTCCACCATCCCACCGAAATTTCTTTAAACTCACTTTGGAGGCACGTGCAGCACACGTGATTAGCCCAACTGTTGGGTAATGCGATTACGAGTATAGTTTAAAATTTTAAAAATAATATGCTTCTACATTTGGGGTTTATCAATTCGCCCTTTTTACCTCCGATTCAATATTTTTAACGAAAACATCCATCTTACATTTCAATTTAAAAAATACAGAACCAACATCTTTGAAATCTTGTAGATGATTGAAAGTTACTTCAACGATTTCTAATAAAAATTTATCCGTTTATTCTCTCCACAAATTTGATGACGGCTTCTTAAAATTTTATTTTACCTTTAAACTGCATCTACCAGTGAAAATTAAATTCCAAGAATTAAATTTTATAATTTATTTAACGAACTAGGAGTTTTTTTATTGGGTGGAAGAAAGCTCTGTCCAAATAATTTTATACAATTTTTTTACGAAATTAATTTCGATATAATAACAATTGGTTTATAGTTTTTAGAACATTTTGAATAATTACAGATTATTTCCTGTTAGAGAAAACGATTCACCACGTGCCAATGGGACATAGGTACGCTGATTCCAAATTCTGTAGCAGTCGGGACAATAAAAAAATTTGGTTGAAAGTTGTTTCGACAGAACTTTCCTCGCCCATGAGTACAATGAAACATATCCAGCATTTTCAAAAAATTATAAAATTTGATTTTGCGAATTATATTTTTTTATGCGAACCCTTATAGGTTGAACTAAACATATCTATGTAATGTAAATGTTAAAGTAAATGTAAAGAAGTCAGCTACGCGTATGTTCCAAAAAAGTTTTCACTTTGCAAAATTTTGCAATGACCTCATCAACATTTTTGCAAGGACCGTGTAGTAGTTTGGACAGATGCAATGTAATACTGATAAGAAGTGGACTGTATCGCCAAATTTTCGGGAAAATAACTTAATCAACACAATTAAATGTCTCACTCATTAATTTTTTTGAGCCACCCAGTATAAGTAGTTCTAAAAACTATGCGTCCATTGGTAAAATATATTTATATTTTTTTTTATCTTTTTTATATTTTGCACATTTTAAATAGAATTGATTCCCAAAAATTTTGAGATGCCGTCATGAATTTTTTTGGGAGGGGATAAACGAATAAATCTTGATTACGATAACGTTAAAACATTTGCAAGATTTCAGAGCATTCCGTTTTGGACTTTCAAAGTTAAATACAAAAATTTTGTTACAAAATTTAAACTTTTTATTCCAAAAATCTTAGGTAAAGACACAGCACGGATTCATACACCACAAGTGCAGAAGTATCGTATTTTATAAAATTTAAAAAAATTGCAAATTTTAGAGACGGCGTTAGAACCCATTTAATTTACTATGTACAATTTTGAGGTGACGTCATCACATTATTGGTGGGGATGATTAGACAATGTTCGATTAGCGTTTTACCATCTACATGATGTGATAATACACATAAAATTTGAGAATAATCGGTCCGGTAGTTTCGGAGATTACCTGTCTAACAAAAATCGTCGCGGACATCGGATGAACGGACGAACAGACGAACAGACGAACAGACGGACAGACGGACAGACGGATAGACGAACAGACGGACAGACAGACGGAAACGGGAGATCCATTTTTTGTACTCTAGGGGTCATGACCTATCGAGAAAATATGAAAGCAACCAGTCGCCTGATGGACTCGATTACAATACTTTCTTAGTTTACGCTTGATAAGTAAAAACAGTTCAATGAAATTTAAATCGTTTTTTTTTTGACGGCTGCCAATATAAAAATCTGCCAAAACGACACCATGATGATTTGGGCATTGCCCCAAGTCACCTTAGACAAGAAGTTGAAAACTAGCGAATTGTGTACATTTAACAACAGGTGGTATTTCTGTGATCGAAATTTGTAATTTTGTACTTGAAAAGAACGAGATTTCGTAGCTGGAAAAATACAGCCCTTTGATAAAAAAGAACTTAATAAAATTATTCCTTCCATAAGTTTGTATCGTTAATTCGAGGTCACTTTCCCAACTCTGCGGTTCACCACTTTGCAGAACGCATTCCGCCATTTCAAAACACAACGTAGGGTTCCATTTTGGTGACGATCACAATTCATGGCCATTTTTCAAACTTTTCGAGGGTTTTCGATTTTTGTGCGCGTGTCTCAATTTTGGCGAGATGTTTGGGTTTATTATACCCATCTGCCTCATGTTTCCCTTAGCTTGTGGATTCATTTTTACAATGCCTAAATATGCCCCATGAAGTTCGTCAAGGAGTTGTTTTCGTAAGTAACTTGGTATTATCACCCGATAACCCCATAATAAGCATGCTCATAGATAATTTGTTTCTTCGTGTGAAATGTGTCATGTTTTCACTTCTTTCATTATTTGACCATCCGTTTGTGGTATAATCTAGAACCTTGAATAGAAGGGGATCCTTTCTGATTTCAATGCAAATCCTTTTTGAATCTATTGGGACAGCTTTTGTCACAATTAGATTCAGTTAGTTGAATCTTCATGAATTTCTTTTTCTTTTTCTACTGTCTGCAAGGGATGTCCTGATAATATGCCTGTCACGTGATTTTTTTGTCCCTTGATATATTCAATGTCATATCTGAAACGAACCATACGTGTAGTATCTATCTCTGATTTCTATATGAGTAGGATTGAGAAATGCTTTTGTTCATAGCTAAAACTGATACGAATAGGTTATAATCAATTTCAAAAAGCCAAAGTCTCTCTGTCGATTACGGCGTAGTTGGTTTCTGCTTTGCTCAAGGTTGTTGTTATAAAAACAATCGTTTTTTACTTCCCGAGCGTAAGCAAAGGAAGTATTGTAATCGAGTCCGTCGGCCGACTCTCTACTTTTACGTTTTCTCGATCTTTCATGACCCCTAGAAGACGAAGAAATAGGTCTCCCATTTCCGTCTGTCTGTCCGTCTGTCCGTCCGTCTGTCCGTCTGTCCGTCTGTTGTCCCGGATTTTTATTAGACAGATAATCTCCGAAAGTACTCGACCGATTGTTGTGAAATTTTGTACTTATATTAAGAATATCATGTAGATGGTAAAACGCTAACCAAAATTTGTCTAATCATCCCCACCACTAATGCGATGACGTCACTTCAAAATTGTACATAGTAAATGGGTTTGTTTTCAATTGTATAAAATAACATAATCCTACACATGTAGTTTACAACTCTGAATCGACTTTTCACCCGAAACGTCCAGATTTTTGGAAAAAAAATCAAAATTATAAAACAACATTTTGAAATTTAATTTTTAATCTGCTTGCCAGAATGCTTTGAAATGTTGCAGATATTTTAAGGCTATAAAGAGCATCATAAATCTTTAGTCAAAATATATTTGCTTATCCCCTCCAAAAACTTGATGACGTCAGCTCAAAAGTTTGTGGAATAAATCATATCTAAAATGTACAAAATATGATGAGTCTGTACTTGTGATCTATCACTCCATTCATATTTTTTGGATTTGCATATACAGGGTGACTCAAAAAAATTAATGAATGCGTAAATATATTTTATTGATTTAATCAGGAACTACAAAACCGAATGCTCTGAAATCTTGCAGATGTTTTAAGGCTATAAAGAGCATCATAAATCTTTAGTCAAAAAATATTTGCTTATCCCCTCCAAAAACTTGATGACGTCAGCTCAAAAGTTTGTGGAATAAATCATATCTAAAATGTACAAAATATGATGAGTCTGTACTTGTGATCTATCACTCC